GCCGGCGCGTTCCCAAACCGTCCAACGACTGCAACACAAGGACCCCTTATCTGCATCTCAAACCCTAAAATTGGCTGGTCCAACCTGTCGTGATCCTGCGCCCAGAGACTGTTAAGTAGAGTCAGCTTCTTGGCACTCCGGGGTCACGCAGGACTTCTGAGGGGGTTTTGCCCATTCCCAGTTCCCTTTTTCCCATCCAACCTGCCCGAAATGAAGAAGACCGCCGTGTGTCGAGGTGAGAAGAGCGAGGAGAAGAAAAGACCGGTCTGGACGCCATGGACGCCAAGCTTCCTTCCCCTCGGTGGCAGTGTACGTGGCCCTGGATGTCGGTGCAAGCCACGGCTGAATTACCACCCCTCACTTAGACTATTTCCTTCCCCCGAACGAAGCGGTGAATGTTGGTGAGTGAGACGGAGCTGCTCCTGCTTTCTTGGGAGTACACGCTGAGGTTGGTGGTCGAGGAGGTCTCTTCGCGACGGAGGGGCGTCAGGTCGGTTTCCGTTTCTCTTCGGAGAGTGGCTGTTCGGGTTTCTTTAGGTTGAGAAGCCGTCGTCATGGTCGAAGTCGCAGTCTGTGGGGCCGTCGTCTTCCAGTGCTCACCGTTGCCGTTCCAGCAGGCAGAGCATGGGCATTGAGGAGTGCGGTTGAGGGCTGGCGGAGGAGTGCAGTGGCGCTTCCACCAGCTAAGAGGCTTTTGTTGTTGTTGTTCGGAAGACATCGTGAAGTGGGTGAGGACTTGTGGTGGAGAGACGGAACGGAGACGTCAAAGTCAAGTGAATGGCAAGGGATCAAGGGACCAGAGGACCGAATCCAGGCTCTAGATATATGCTTTGGGTATAGGTAGAAGTCGACTGGACTGGCAAAGGTCGAACGATGACCCCTTGAATGCAAAACGTGAAGGCCTCGCGGCGGAAGGCAAGAAACAGACTGGTGAATGGAGACAAGCGGAAGCGGATACAGGTTCCTCGGAAAGGGGGGGCCGATAAAGATTTATACCCTCGAGAAAAAGCATCCCCCGAGACGACACCGCAGCGGCGCCGAGCCATGGTCAAGGAGAACGGTGTTTGTGGGACCCCTTGGTCGTGTACCCATGACTGCATGTGAAGCTTACCCGGCCCGGTTTGTGCTCGCAAGGCTCAAAGCCTAGATAAGTGCGTATGTACAACGTACAGAAATCTCGACAGGGCGCTTGCCTAGCCTTCAGCTTTGGTCTAGCTGCCGCCGCCGGCGCAGATGTTCGGCCACATTGTCGGGTCTCACCTCCTGTTATCTTTCAGATGGTAGAGCCGGCGCTGTTCTGCTCGAATCCTTCGGGATCCTCTCCGGCTCACTTGAGTCCACGGTCATCCACGATTCCCAAGTCGCAAGGACCGACGAGAAAACAAACAGGAGAAAAGCCAGGCCTGCGGTACTTGTCAGTCGCAAGAATCTCAAGGTAGACGGTCCCCAATAAGGGCAAACGGCCGGTACGTACTTGTTTAGTCACCTTCGCTAATCGCATCACATTGTCTCGGGAGTGCGTCGGAGAAGCCTCGCAATGTTAGTGCCCGCTTTTCTTCTACTGTTCCTACATTTCGACATACGACTGTGGAGCCAGACCGCCATGGAAACAACGATTTTTTTTCAGCTAGAACTCGTTCCTATTCCGAGGGCGTCCCTGTTGGAGTTTCGTTTTGCTGGGCGCGACGTTGCGGCGTGGTGTTGCAGATGCGACTCAGTCGCCGTTGTTGATGCGTCCCGGCGCATATTGCGGATCATCCGGCCGATCGAGCGTTGAACCCGTCGGTACGTGCCATCTCCTCGAGCATCCTCTCCCTCGAAAAGAAAAGAGGGTGATCGAAAGGTCGTGAAGGCTCGGCGATGAAGTTTCGGGCGAGAAAAAACTCGGAAATCAGTGGCAAGAAGAAACCACAATTTTGTGACTTGTCCCAACCGCCAGCAACCCGAATTCCAGACCGGTTCGAGGCCCAAGCATCCCGAGCAAATCACAGTCGCGTCATAACTTTAGCCCCCTGGCAGATAAGGACAAGCGTCGGGATCTTTCCGCCGGGAAGGGCTCCAGCCAGGGTGCAAGGTGGAAAGAAAGAAAAAATCAAGCAAGGCGTTGGCGGGAGAGATGCATATGAGTGCTATTCCCGTGGCCGGGGTCTGTGATGGGGACCTGGCAACCCTTTTCTACGAATACCCGGACGGGAACGACATGTCGTTGAGCCTCACTGTGGATCCTCCGCTCTGGACGCCCTTCATCCGAGAACTGCAATAGCCGAAGGGCCCATTTTGGGCCGAGAGATGCTGCCTGTGTGTGGAGGGAGGATCTTGGGGTTGTTCGCGGAGTGAAATGGCCTGAATGCGACTGCTACCATTGCGACTCAACGCTTCGGTGGTATACTTTATCGCCTTGAACTTTCTAGCATTTTTTTGGTCTCTCACTACTTTGTTGCGGAGCTGGCAACAAAATTCGTCGAAAATTTGGAGCTCGTTGTTCCAGAAGACAAAGACTCGAGTGTCGTTGAGACAAGATGATGGTGCCGTGCAAGACCATGGACAGGGGTTCGTTGTCGTCCCAGTCGCAACCGGAGAATCTTTGGCAGTGCGCTTTTCATCCCAAAGGTAAAGCTCAGGCATCGCTCAGTCTCATGTCTGTGTCTTTCTCTTTCGATTGTCCCAGCAACAACAAGATTGCTGCTCATAAACAGGAGAACTGCAGGGCATACTCTTCTAGTGGTCACCTGGGAGCCGCCTGGCAACGACTTACCTTGAAGCTTCCACCGGGTTCAACCGACTGCTCTCATCTTCAGATAGGCAATGGTCCCCTTTTGATTCGTATCATCATGAGTCCTGGTTTACTTTGGACTGCTTGACTTAAGATGCCGGTACTGTTCTCCATGTTGGCGTCCAAATCCAAGCGGACTCGCAAATCCAAGCCAAATCGAACAAGCATCGACCATACAATTCGTCCAACCGACAGATAGTCTTGAAACGAAATGCAACGATATCAGAGACGTCCGTGGTCGTACCAAACACTATGGGCTGGCTCCGAAGCTCCGAGTAGATGGGGAGAAGCAGCATCGCCGAATCCCTTCAGTCAGCCGTCGGAAGCGGAAGAGTTCAACAGGCTGTGTGAGATCCAGTTGGGACATGAGTACCACAGTTACCAGCTTGGAAGCTACTCGCGGCATCCAAGTGGCAGGATTTTCGGGGATGATCTCCCGCCAGCTAGGCTCCAACACCGACATAATTCGTCCATCGTATCGAGGATTATGGCACTTTCAGCGTTGACAGTTCTCCTGCTTGCCGAAATTGACAAGAAAAGCCGGTCTGTGGCTTCGACAACTCTGAGAACCCTCGACCGGGCACGTGAAGAGAGTAACGCCTGTCAACTTTGGATCTCAAATAACTCGATGCTAGAAACTGGGACGATTGTGATATTTTGCGTTCTGGTCGTCTGCGCGCTAGTGTTGCAGATGACGCAGCCTTTTGCGACAGGCCCGCGACCTGTCTACGTCTTGGTTCATGATTGTCGTTTATGGTCGGCATGAAGAGCATGTGCGAAGACGTTACGCCATGTCGACGGCATACGTGCTTCTGACTTTGAAGATGGAGAAATTGGCGGGAACGCTCGGGCGACTGTAAATACCCCCAATGAGCGGTGCACAGGCCATGTGCATGTCACTATCAACCCAGGAGCTACGGCCTGAATCTGTACTACTGATTGCATGTGTGCTCGAGCTGCAATAGCAAGAGCCAAATTGAAGCCGAATGCAACATCATCGTGGATTGCAATCTTGTGGACTGTGCCATGGATATCCTGTGTATTCATTCTTCTTATCTCTTTTGTGCTGTACGGCTACGTTCTTCAAGTACATAACATGGTACAAGTACATTCACCAGGGTCCGCCCCACGTTCATGACCAACTTGAACTGTAACCTATGAAATTTCCACTCGTTTCCCCTCTCGCTTCTGCATGCTCACTCTCCATCAGCTGGGAATGGCGGCGAGCAAACCAGCAATTCGGATGACTAATCTCATCCACCTGGATCGATAGCTCAGTGGTAGAGCGAGAGATTGCAGCTTCCCGCAGCAACCTATCTCTAGGCCCCGCGTTCGAACCGCGGTCGGTCCTTGAAGCCCTTCGGGCACTTCGCTTTTTGTTCTTTTTGATTGAGAAGAATCCACAAATGTTGGCTTGTTGTTGTTGCTGAGTTGTCTTGCATTTGCCATTTGACCAAGTCTGTCGACGGTTCGACTGCGACGTGTCAATGATCCAGAGAGTCTGCAGTACCCAGCTTAATGATGGGCGCAACAATCAGGACTGATATCCATCACCAAATTTCTTCACATCACCCTGAACCTGTCCAAACTGGCTAGGGTCCTTCGGCGAGATGAAATAAACCTCCTCGCGAGCACCGATGGCTCTCAGAGCCTTGCCATCGAAGACGCCGTCGTAAGATGGCCAAGGTTGCAAGCGATACCTCGATGTGTTGTAGCGCCCACCGTCCCATGGGTTGTTCATGTACTTGAGAAGCAGGTGATGACTCTTCAAAACCTCGTCCGGAAGGTCGTCCTTGAGGCGGACGAGATACAAGTAGCGACCTCGCTCGGCGTTGGTTGTTGGTGGTAGAAGCTTAGTATCAGGCGGGATGGCAATGCCCTTGATTGAGGTGTAGGTTTTTGGGACTGCATCGTGTAAAGTAACGTTTCCCAGAATGGGCGAGGCCGAGACCGTGGTGTCGACAACAAAGGCCCCTAGGAGCGCAATGGTCATGATAGCGTTGAGGAAGCGCATCTTGGGGTCTGGCGTTAGAAATCTTCGGTGTTTTCTGTTAGATGAATAGATTGAACTAAGCCAAGGGAAGGTGTGACTGGAATTTAAATATGTACGAAATCTCAGTGACCTTGGTGATTCGTTTGGCTTTCTCCGTTTCAACCGCTATGGAAGCAGTCGCCACAACCATAATCAGACCCTTTAGACCACAAGGTATCCTCCCATGTTAATCCCCTACGCCTTGATCATTGACCCTAGAAAGAGGCCCAGCAAAGTGAGAGCCAGTGCCAATGGCGTAGTCGCATTCTGTACATCTCCCTGGATTATCCCAAGGAGATAAAGAATGCACAAGATAATAAAAGGTGACAGGCAGGAGACGATGTAAAAAGATGTCATTAGTGCTGAGCGGCGTTCTTGGATGTAGAGACCCCAAAAGTCTTCTTTCCGGTTGCTTTTCTCATCGAGGTAGTAGTACCGCTGGGGTATGCACCCCACGGTGTCGTCACTCAGCGACTCGACGCAGGAGTAGAACGGGAGAGTCCATGATGAGCCCGCGGAACCACTTTTGGTGGTGAATTGATAGATGTGGCTGAATTCTTCTGGGGACACCGGTGGTTCACGGAGTGCTGGCCGAGGAGTGTAGTAGTAGTCCTTTTGCGCCGTCGATGGCACCTCAAGGCCCCGGTGAGCGAAGCCGTTTCGACAGAACTTTTCGAACTGAAAAAGAGATTAGCTCCAGCGTCGTCGAAATTCATCGGGGACAACTCTCGAGTCGGAGGAGTGAATCATGTCAAGCAGGGGTTGTAGGCAATGACTTACACGTACGAAATCGCAGTGAGAGAATCCATACGGCGAAAACCACGATCTCCAGAAGCCTTTCAGCTCACGATATACCTGTCGTAGTTCTTGGCCAAATTCATCGGTGCTCAAATACAGCGACGGGAGTTGTTTGAGAGTATGTCGACCAGTGGTAGCAACTAGGAATATGTATCTTGGCTTGGGATACTCCTGCTGCTTTGTTTGCTGATTCCACTGATTTGATGCCGTTGATTGAGCTGGCTCGGAATTCGATTTGCTTCCCATCTTGATAGAATTTGTTCCCAAGGAAGAGGATTCTGATGCCGTCCCCGACGATGAACCTAGTTTCACCGTCGTCGTGCTTGTCTTCGAGGCATCCGTTCCATGCCCCCGGTTGTAGAAAGGATACTTTCGTAGCAGCCACCCGATGCCGCCGGCAAACTCTGCTGGCAACACCTCCCACCTGTCTTTTCCACATCTCTGAACGAGTTTGCGTCAGCTGTTTCCTCGATGTTTTCGAAAGGGGCGACTTACACAGCGCCATCCAAGTCTTGCCTCCGAAAGACTGGAAGTATACTTTGGCGGACGTAACGGCCACCAATTCCACGTCTCTCCGGTGGTCGATTCCAACCATATTTGAACCTTATCCATGATGCCTTGTGTGCCCTCCACATCGAGAAAGATGCTTTGGGGGCGTGATTCCTCCAGTTCAGTAAGTGTTGTCATCATTCTTAATCTCATGTTGCTCCAGTACCGATCGTCCGTGTCTTTCCCCTCCAGAACCCTAGCGACGAGCTTCGAAGCCTGTGAGCGAAACGAAGGATCTACAAAATCGGACAGATTCCGTGTCAAACTTGCGAAGGCAGAACTGTTCAATATGAAAGCACTGATGGACTCAAAGTCGAGGTCCGCAGCTTCTTCCTTCTCGGCCGGGGCTATATCGTCCGGTTCATCCTCTTCGTCTCGTTCTTCGTCCACAGCCTCATACTTTGCTTCTATTTCTGCGCCACCCTGTCTCCCTCCTTCGGGTACCGTATCAGATGGGGTAGTATCTTTAGGGTGCAGAACTTGAGACTCCGAGGGGTCCAGAAGAACGGGCTTGAGGTACTTTTCGGATGCCCTCATGGTGATTGCAGAGGCGATTGGCATGCGATACTGTCTCAAGAAGACGGCTGAGAGAGACTCATCCTTTGTCGTCGCCTCAACTGCCAAATCTTTTCCCAATTGTCGAAGTAGACGAGCCAGGTTTCTTCGAAGCCTGTCTGCCCCAATTGAAGACTTTTGTATTGCTGCCTCGAATAATGTGGACAAAGCCTCGTTCTCAAGGAGGAACGCAATCGCCTTGTTGAGGCCAGATCGTACCGGGCCCGAAGCCGAGCTTCCCACAAGTGTCGTTGAGGATTCGAAAGATGCTACTGAGCTAGTTTCCCAATCATCATCCGAATTTAGATCTTCGATGTCGGTGCCCGGATATCCGTCATCATTCCGAGTCATTGAAGCCGGAAACAAGTGACCAACGTGACTGAAATAGGCAGGTGACTTTGCCTAGTAGTCCCTAAGTCGACCTGAATGGATTAACTCTTCGCATTTCTCCCATGTGAAATATTCCTCAGACCAGTCATCTCTCCAAGCAAATATGGTAGGGTCCTTAGCTTTCTCCAAGATGGCTTCTTGGAGACGTATGAATGCGTTTGTGTCGCCCTCCCCGTAGTTGGGCGCAACCTCCACATCAAACAAACCATGCAGCGAGTATGCTAGGTCTTCGAGTCTCGTTGCGTTACGGCTTGCAGCCCAATACATTCGGCGGGCGACAGGTATCTTGGCAGGGTCACCGCCGACTAAAGCGTACGGATCGATGTCGGTGATGATGTACAACAACTGCACCAGCGGAGAACGCTCTTGAAAAAGTTCCCACTGACGCGAGTAGAAGAGAAGCCGCACAGGAGCTATCAGTTCTTGGATAGTCCAGGATCGTGTAAACCATCTGCTCTGTCTCAACATCTGATAGATACCTGGCAGCTGAGAATTGTCCACTGTGGGATGCGCGCTCGAAGGGTCATAGTCGAAGTCAGACAGGTAGGCAATGCAAAGGGCCGCCGATCTAAATCTTCGAAAGCTGGAATTGATGGATGCATTGAGCTCAGCCTCGTTCTTTCGGTCGGTGCAGCACGTGTCGGTCCAAAGGTACTCGAGGTGATATTCCTCGAATGCAATGCGACATGCCTCACGTATCTTCGTAAACCCTGCCTTGGCAACTGCCTTTGATCGATCACCCACGAGGTCTTCATACATCACCTCCTCTGGACCCCACGTATGAGATAGGACTGCGTAGGGGGGCGGATCATATTCGCTTATGTGCTTCGTAAGCTCAACGGTGTCGGTTCGCAGAAAGATCATAATGAGGCATGCACGAATCTAGGCATATGCTGAAATTTCTGACCGAAACTCGATGAGAGATTTCATCTTGCACGTCTGCCTGGCAAGGCTGCGCTCGCTGCGGTAATAGGCCGGCACTCACGTGGTCCAATGGGATGTCTTCGCATATGCAGCTCAGAGGAGTCGGCGATAGGCTCAAGAGGGTCCAGCAGAAGAATCACAAAGTCCCTCCCTGATAACGCGAGTAGTCCAATACATTGGTATTAGATTTCAAGTTTACCTCGGACGTCAAATCCGGTGTAAAGAGTTGGGATAATGGTCGAGGCCAAAGTCTTCGTTATGCAGGGCACCCCTCACATGATGCTGCCCCCCAGCTTCCGCTGCAGCTTCTCTCCCTTATCTTCTGCCGCTTCTTCCTCCTTCCTCTTCTCGATCGCCGCCTTCCGCCTGTCGTGATACGCCGGGTCCCTAGCAACACCCTCCCTCCGCCACTTGCGCGGCGGCTTCACGCCCATCTCCGCGTACCTCGACCACACGCTCACGCCGCGGCGAAACCATCTCTCCTGCCTGTCCTGCTCCTCCTCGGGCGACGCCTGCCACTTGCTCCTCAGTATCCTGCGAATCGCCTCGGGCGACACCTCGAACATGCTCGACAGCTTGGTCGTCGTGTACTCCTCGGGGGACTGCGCATGCAAAGCCTTGATGCCGGCGATGGCGTCCGGCGACAGGCGCTTCCGCGGGTTCCACCCCTCGGGAAACTTTTCTTTGAGGGCCTCCTTCTGGACCTGCCAGTGCTCGCGCTGGTGTTTGCGCTCCCGCTCGTGGGGGTTCAGGTCGCCGTCGTCTTCGTCGTTGGTCGGTCGCCTGGGACGTGGTTTCCTTGGACGATTGCTGTGGCTTCTTTCATCGGAGGACGTTTGCGTTGCTTTTGCGGCTTGTGCAGCTTCCTTGGCTGCTGCCTTCTTCGCATCCCATTGATTATTGAACGAGGCGCGTGGCCTTGGGAGCGTAGTGCTGAATGGGGATCTCGGGATGGTCTGGAATCTTGGGAGGTTATTGCTGATATGCTTAGGTATTCTCGCTGCGGCGGCGGGTTCGGAGACGTGCAGCTGCGCCATGCTGCTGAGCAAAGCCCGCAAAGGACTGAGGCGACAAGAGCAGAGCATGTTTCGATTGTCGACCGGTGAGGATGCGTGGACAGGGAATGTGTCGTGGCGTTGCGCTTCGAAGTCTGCGATCAGCGGCAAACGGGTTGCGAAAAAGTTGGTTGACAAATTTCCATGCTATCGATACGGAGTTCGCAGCGATTGACGGGACGGGGCGCGCTACTACAGTGGATCCGCCGGGGCAAGGGTGCCGTGGCACCGGCGCTGAGCCCGTTGTTCGGTCGGGTGCCTTCCAGGTTCTGCAGGGACCCGGTGCCACTAAATTAAATGAATGCTTCCATCGTCCTCGTCAGCAAACCTTACCCATCATTTGTAAGACAACTCTGCGACTTCAACAACGACGATGCAGTGGATGGCATTACGGCGAAATTTCAGAGCAACACAACTTGCCCGAGACTTCGAGTTGGTTGCTTTCCCCCCTTATTGCCGACAATGAAGCCCGACTATTCTAACCCCTCACTGGAGCTAACCGCGAGCTGGAATGCACGTGCAAGAAATCAAAGCATCATCCATGCTCCCCGCGGTTCTTCCTCCGCGCAGCGTCGGCCAGCCTGCCGCCCTCCATCCCATCTCTAGCAGAGCCGTTCACACCATAAGTGGCCCTCCCTGTCAAGTGGTTTAGGGTAGCAAGCCGTGGTCCGGTGATCTGCCAGCGTGTCTGTGAGGAACTCCCCCCCCCCTCATCCGAATGGGGTCACCAACTCGTTTCGCAGTGCGAGCGGGCATGTGTTCGAGAAGAACGACACGGAGGCTGCGAGTCAACATGCTTAAATCAACTTGACATTTGTTGACTATCATATGATTTACACTTGGAGTTTTCAGAGGTTAAATCCTGCCGGCTTTCCTGGGTTTTGTTAAGCTCGAAGAGTTGGCTTTGAGTTCGATGAAGTCATTGCTGTTATTAGCTCCTACTTGCTACACGGTGGAGTTGAGCTAAACACCACTTGCAAACTATCTTCACCCTCATTCTTATCTGCAACTTCATGTCGTGAATCTGTACACCAGTGCTATCTCTTCTTGTACAATTTTGACATCATCTTCACCCACATCTCATACAGTCAGACCCCTAGAGCAATGGCAGGTCGTCTCTGGTATAGAGGCCCCGAGTGGCAAGAAGCATGGGACTACTGGTTCAAGTGGACAGACGAGCATCTCACATCTGACGACCTTCGACCGCTGATTTACACGTACGATGAGCTGGGAGCCCAGGCTCTGGACCGCCTCGATGAGATATCACCGCCAGCCAAGCCCCCGGCACCCAGCGAGAAAGGAGACAACTCTCCCAAGGAGAAGTGTCCCCACAGAGACTTATACGCCCTCCTCAGAGACAATGCCAATTCGGACGAGATACTAGGAAAACTGTGGACCGAAATAAACACCATCCCGGACTGGGTAGACTGGGCCCAGATTGAACGCGGCCAAAAGGTGTTTGTCCGTTATGCCGGGCCAGCCATCTTCTCTGTAAGCCCCCCATCTTTCATTTTGAAGAACGACCGCACTAATACCACACTTACAGCTCACGTTCCAATCCCTAGTAGGCGGCTTCGGCGGCCGTCGCGTGGTCGAAACGCTTGCCCGTACCGGCGGCTTCGGCGTCAAGGTCACCCGCCGCCGCCTCCTCGAGACGTTCCAGCACATCCTCCAGGTGACCTCCGACCTGCCCTCGATCCAGCCCGGCGGCGCCGGCTTCGCCTCCTCCGTCCGCGTCCGCCTGCTCCACGCCGCAGTGCGCCGCCGCATCCTCGCCCTCACCCGAGAGAAGCCGTCATACTACGACGTCGAGGCGTGGGGCATCCCCGTCAACGACCTCGACTCCATCGGCACCGTGTCCACCTTCTCCGCGACGCTCATCTGGATCGGCCTCCCGCGGCAGGGGATCTACCTCACGGAGCGGGAGAAGGAGGACTACGTCGCGCTGTGGCGCTGGGTGGCGCATGTGCTGGGTACGCCGACGGAGGCGTTCGAGAGCGTGAGCCGGGCGCGGGCGATGATGGAGTCGCTCATGGTGTCTGAGATCGAGCCCTCCGACACCTCGAGGGCGCTGGCAAATAATGTGTTGTCCGGGCTGTGCAACCAGCCGCCGTCGTACGTGTCGCGGGACTTTTTGGCGGCGGAGACGTACTGGCTCAACGGGGCGAAACTCGCGCGCGCGCTGGGCATCGAGAGGCCGCCGTGGTACTACAACCTGCTGGTCGTCGGGCAGTGCATCTTCTTCATGGTCATGTGCTACTCCCACCGTCTGTTTCCCGGGTGGGACGAGACTCGGAACAAGGTAAGAAGAAGAAGTGATCACGTACCACAACTCACTCAAAGCGAGTCTAAACTAACACCAATCCAGAAACTCCAAAAAGGCCTCTTCAACATCACAATCAACAAGCCCGAGCTCGGCGCCCTGGGCAAGGAGACGAACTTCGAGTTCCAGTACATCCCGACCCTCGACATGATGTCCACCGAAGCCGCGAGCAGAACGTACCACCTCACCCAAAACAACGACGACAACAACAACAAGACCAACACCGGCAACGGCTCGTCCCCCGCCGCCGCGCGGGTGAGGCTCGTGCGCAAGACGGAGCGCCGCAACCTTGCCTCGCTCATCCTGGCCTCCGTCGCCGTGGTGCTGCTGGCTTGGCTGGGTGTGAGGAGCGCCTCAGCGCTGTTTGGGAGCTTCGCCGGGATGGCGCCGTCGGGCTGGCGTGCGGTGATTTAGAAAAGGACGAACGGACCTGGCACAGGCAGCGCGTTGATCCCGACTGCCGCCGGTCGGTTGACCGGGTTTGGGCCGTTGCTCCGCAGGATAAGGGCAGTTACCATTTTATGTATACGTATCTTTTTCTTGCGATTGGTAATGCCGGACAGAATTCCCCAGACTCTTGTTTTTTTGCGGCGTCGATCACTGTATCTGAAGATCAAACGGTTTTGCCTTGGGGACCCTTTTTTGTGGGTTCCAGAGGCGCCTCCATGGCATGAATGTCGTTGCCGCAGCTTTGGGAACGGCATACAACGCAAAGTGAGACACGTACAAGGGACCACTTGTGTTTTGGGTTGGTAATCAGTTTGTTTTGTTTCGCTAGCTGTGAAGGCCGCGCGAGTGGGAATCTAGTATACATAAAATATGTGCTTTTTTGGCCCTTTGCTACGAGCCAGCACGTGGTAGAAACTTTTTTACCATGGCATATTCGCCATCCTCCGCGAAAACGACAGTCGTGTGAATCTGTCCGGTTGAAAATAAAACTCTCGAATCCTGTATGCGCGCCCTGTCTTTCCCTCGTAACGCCGTCGCATAAAATCCGTTCTCAGATGCTAGATGCGCCCAGTCCTGGTTCACCGCCTATCCGTGTCGTATCCAAACGCCTAAACAAGATCGCCCGTAAAAGACTTGGTTTCTCATGCGTCCATCATCAGCTCCACCGGCGGGCGGGAAGTGTGCGCCATAATCGGCTTGGTGTTCTCGATCGGGCTGAACTCCATGGGCTCGTCCGTCATGTCCTCGAGGCAGATGGCAGGAAGATCTGGGCTGTCACCTTGGGCGTCGGGCTTGTAGAGCAGTGTTGAGCTGCGGCTGCGCGTCTGGTGGGAGCCGTCGATGGGGCTGATGGGAGTCTCGACACCGGAGGGGCGGTGGCCAAGCTTGGCCAGGGCCTCGGCAAGATCCTCGGCGTGGACCATCTTGTTAGGAGCGTCCTCGAGCTTCATCTCCCAGCCGTGAGGAGGAGAGGGAGGGGGAGAGATGAAGAAGAGCTTGCCAGCGTCGGGGAGGGCAAGGTGACGGTCGGTGACCTCGACCGGTGTGGGCTGGCCGAAGTAGACGCGGACGCGCTCGCCCATGACAGCCTCACCGTCCCAAATGCGACGGAC